AAATGTTGGCCATTTTAAATCGGGGGAAAATAATTATCTTTGCATGATTTTTCCAATTTTTGCCATCATTTTAATTCCAAATATAAAAAAGGGGTGGTTTGGGTAGTGGAAATGAAAGAATTTGTCTTTCTTCAGCCTTGATAGACAGAGCCAAAATAGAAAAGGCCATACAAGAAAAAAAGAAACAGCTATGGTGGTGATAAGTTCACTTAACTGTAATTCAATCCAGGGCAAACTCAACGTTATGGGAAGAAGCATATTTTAAAATATGTACTTAACCTGAGGGTTTTCCCACATCAGACTAAAGTCGGAAAAATTTAAACAATTGCTATACCTGTTGACGGAATAATTCATTTCCCTTTTTTAACCTCAGTGTCTTCGATTTCCCTCTGATATTGGAGAATGGGGGAAGTTTTTTTTCCACTCAGTCTAAAATAATATATCATGAACTTTTACAATGTTACCTATATTTTCAGTGTCTTACTTGGCACCTCTAGTGTCTTCATCAGAAGAATCAGGAGTGGTTCCCACAGACAGACTAAAATAGAGTAGATCCTTGGCCATTCTATGACCTAAACTTTGGAAATAATACGTCCGATTTACGATTTTAGCTTGCATGGTGTTTGCATTATCCATTTGAGGTCACCGAATGGGAGTGGTCTTTGTCAAGTCATTAACAAATAGAAATAAATCTTTGACACACAAATAGAGGAAGCATCCAAATAACTTATACGGGGGTGGGGGAATAGTCCAGTTTAAAAAATTAATAAAAGGTTAATATTGACTGTGTGGGACCGTTGCCAAAAAACTAAGACTGTAAATCGGTTTCTCTCACAATTAATGTGCATCCACCAGGTACCTCCGAAGCAGTTGCCTGCGGAAATCATGTATCCGGGTCACAGTCAGGGCTCTGGGTAAAGTTTTCTCATTGGTTGGGTCTGCCAAGGTCATCCCAAAGGATCAAGGTACCAACTTCAAGTCAAAGTCCTTTGCACACTCCTCTCCCACATTGAGATAAACCATGTCACTCTATCTTATCTCCCCGAGAGTCAAGGTGCACTCGAAAACTCCAATGAACCATGAACCCACTAAACATCCGACGTCCACTCAACCCCAGATCACGTCATTATCGCGTCGGTCGGGTTCGGACCTTTTATTTACGTCCAAACGACGTCTGTCAAGGTGCGCATCTGGACGGTAAAACAATGACCGCCCTAGTGACGTGATAGACGTCCAATCCCACCTCCTCTAGACTTGGAAAACGGTCAATCGGCCTCCCGACGCAGTACGGTCTTGATCTAGCAATACAATTATATAGGCGTGGTAAGGCAATCTAGGTGTACCTGAACGGTAGCGTAGTGATTAAGCAAATGTGTGCAGCCTTGGATACGTGTGTTTCAAGGTCCACGGTGTGTATCATTATCTTTTACATAATTTGTTTTTCGATTTTAGCGAACAATTTTTCTGTTTGGTTAAAGACTAATAAATAAACACTCAACAAGGATTACGTAGTGGCTAATTATAAAACTTGTGAAATGTAAGGCATTTGTTTGCTAACATGCCTCAAGTTGTAAATAAGGGGTGAGCACTTGGAGATTATATGCAAATGCATGGGTTCACAATTTTATTATTAGCCACTACATTACTTATGTTGAGTGCTTTAAGTTCGTTTTTAACCAAACAGAAAAAAATTGTGTCGCTAAAAAGTGAAAAGTCAAAACCGTTTCGACGGGATTTTGAACCTGCGTCGTTGCACGGAAGTCCTCATTACGCAACCGCTACACCACTGCCAGGCATTAAGTTCTGACTACTGTGAAAAAATAATAGATAACATCCTAAACAAACGACGCACGACTTATACGAGGTTACAGCTCTGACTTGTGAGTCGGTCGAGGACCTGTGTTTTCCACGTCTAAGCGACGTGGGTGTGCATCGGACGTAAAGCAATGGCCTTCCGTCGTTGAATCTGTTACCTTCCTGTCGCTGCCAAATGATGATTCACCAATCCTCATGTGAAAAGTAATGTTCAACAGTTTGTTAGCAAACTAAAAGGTCCTATATTTAACTTTTCTTAATTTTTCACAGTCCATCCTATGCACAGGTGTGATGATAACTTGGGTGATACACAACACAACACTCAAAACTTTGAAATTATTGCCATTTCTTGCAAACCTCTATGCAAGCGCTTGGATCTGTGCTCTTTCCTTGTGAGCTTGCCTCCCCCCGCCCCCGCAGTGACTTAGCCTCACGCTGACTTAGTAAACACAAAACTATTTAGCTTTCACTGATACATAATAATTTCATACCTAAGAAAAAAACGTTTTCTAACAGTGACAATCCATCACATAGAGCCCAGAGCTCCTCCAAAAAGCGTAATTTTGCACCTTTAATCTAAAGATTTAGTCTTGAGTCCTATACATTTCGGTAGTATAATTAGCTTCAAAACAATATTATAATGTTCACGTTAGTTAATGTGCAAACTGGTACACTCTTTTGGGTACTTTTTTATCCGTTTAGAAGTGCTGGTTTTTCTGTTTCAAGACAAAAGCCCCCCCTTCAGTCCTGATTCAGTCTAGACCTGGTTCGGACCTGGCTTAGGGCCTTGTGGTGACCAACGCCACGTCACCTCCGTAAGCTCCACGCCGCGCGAGTATACACTAGGCTTTAGAACTAGTTTAGTCCTGTTTCACTGCAACTTCTCGGCAAGACATGCAAACAAATACAATCAATTATGGGATGTACCTCTGAAGGAAGGATCAGCATGGGTTTTTATTTATTTATTTGGATGCATGCAATTTGGATATCGATTAGAAGATTGAAATGGTGAATTGCTGTGGCCAAATAAATGTGTGAACTACTTTTTGTGGAAAGCATTTACGTAAAACAATTACAAAAATATTTCTATAGTGCAAAAAGGGAGAGCACTAAAACATGTAAAAGAATAGAGGGTATAAAAATACTAAAAGGCTCCCATAAAGTGGAATGAACAGCAAGTAGTCTTCGGTCCAACTGGTGCTCTACAGGTCCATACTGTAAGTGCGCCTCTTCCCATCCTCCAGGGCGGGCCACATCTGCAGATCTAGAGCTAAAAACACACACAGAGCCAGCCTCTAAAGGCACCACAGGATCTCAAAGCCATAGGATTCTTTATGAGCACCACACCTCAACAATTACCAACTACTCAGACAGCAGCTCCTCTCCTGCTGCTGCTGGTGGATGGCTTTGTAGTGCTCGCTCCAGATCATTCATGGTCTGTCGACCTTGCATAAGCACAAGAAAGAAAAAATCAGTTTGCAGAGCTGTGTGCACGTGTGCACTGCCAGCTCAAGGCTGAAGGACTTATGAGTATGCATCAAGTCACGATCGATTACATATTCACCAGATATGTACCAGATTGAATTGCCTGGTTGCCATCCTGAGTCTAAATCAATGGTTCTCAAACCTTTTGGTCATGAACGAACCTAAAGTTTATCTCAGTAGCTTATCTCATCTCATCTTATCTTGTGATTTGACGATAGGTTTTCAAACACACAAACCAGCGATGTCTTCTGCCTCCGCCACAATTTATGGTCCACTGTTAAATCTCGGCGTTGTTAAATGCTCCTGTGTGAATCCCATTTCTCACGGTGTGTCGGGGGGTTTCAACTCTTCCTCTGCAAGCTGCTAAACGTAACATAGTTCTACAGTGCTGCCCCTTGAAGATGATGCTACTCGGGAATAAAATAATTTAACGTTGAAAAGCTGAATAAAAAATAAGCGGTACACATGACACAAAACTGCATCAATGGCTCAAACTATGACTGTGCCACTTGATGTAGCATATCATAATGGAAAAGTAACTTCATTTAGGTAAACCGTTACACCCATATTCACTAATCATACATATACATGTGAGTTGTATATTGCATCTGTCTTTTATGGAGACGGAAGAATGAAAAGAAAAATGATTCATGTACAAAATATGAATCCTATACATGTCCATCTCTGAACAATAGTAGATTGAACATAAAGCAGCATTCCATCAGCTTTGTATATAAAAGCAGAGGGTTTTCCATTGTGCAGCTTCACTTCCAACCCTATAATCTGTACACGCAAGTTCAGCTGCTATGGTAACCAAAGGAAACAACCCTAGTAATTAAACAATCAGCTGCTGCTCTTCGTTGTAATATAGTGCCGTGGTTAAAACAGAATGGCCATAATTAGCCTGCTGTGGGACGGGGGCTGTCATGAAAGATTTAAATCACATGTCTCAAAAGGGCATGGAGCATAATATTGGTAAATGCATTGACTACCTTGCACTGGATTTACAGGCTTGTTGAAAACTATATGTATACAGTCTACATTTATTTTTATAATGCAAGTGAATTCTTCACACGGACAAAATCATCAATATACTTTTTTTTTATTTGCTCAAATCAAAATGAAATCTGCCACATGCTAAAACAAGGAAGGACTCATAAGCAGATCTGCAAAATAATATGAAGTAATCATTGAAACCATGGACACTACATGGAGTGAAAAAATCTTGACGGACGACACAAGCACAGGGACTTTAGACACAGATGTAACACATGAGGGTGGGGCAAACAAGCAACAGAACAGACAAAAAGTACAACTCAAACATTAAGGGAACGAATCCACACAGCATTAGTTAAACTATGGACTTATTTTTTCAAAATGGCTTCTATGTCTGAACCGACGTGTCTGATCTCGGTAAGCTTTGTTTTTGTAGCTTTGCTAATATTGTTTTCAGTGTTCTGATCTTTTAACCACGTTTGAATGCGATGTAACTTGTGTCAGTGAAGGTAATAGACAGTAATAGCAAAACATGTGAATGGAGAGCAGCCACCTCTGTGTCTAATAGAGATGAAAATATCCTTATTTCTGTCCCATTCATACCAGTAGTCCCCTTTGACCAAAGGTCCTACAAAGGAAACTTTTTGATGCATCCTAACCTTGTCCACAGGCACAACTCTTTCCGGCGCCACCTGCCTCGTCAGATGAACGTGTCCAGTGTGGATTTCAGTATGGACACGGTGCCACTACGGCAGTCCTCCACAGCAAGCATCGGCCGGATCAAACCAGAACTGTACAAGCAGAAGTCAGTGGACTCTGAGGATGAAGGGAAGCCTCCTGTGGAGACCTGTGGGAAACTCAGCTTCTCTCTCAGATATGACTACGAGGAGCAGGCTCTAGTGGTCACTATACTGAAGGCGTTAGACCTGCCTGCTAAAGATTTTTCAGGTACGTCCGATCCATATGTAAAGATCTATCTACTGCCCGAGAGGAAGAAAAAGTACCAGACCAGAGTTCACCGAAAAAACCTTGACCCCGTTTTTGACGAGAGCTTCTGCTTCCCCGTGGCCTATGATGAGCTCTGCAACCGTAAGCTGCACTTCAGTGTCTACGACTTTGATCGCTTTACCAGCCATGACATGATTGGAGAAGTTGTGGTGGACAACCTTTTTGAACTGTCTGACCTTTCCCGTGAGGCTGTAGTCTGGAAGGATATCCATGGAGCAACTATGGTGAGATTATGTGACAATTGTGACCTCATTAGGGATTTGTGCATAGAAAACAGACATCAAAACAAAAAAGTCACAGTGCTCTAGATGCCTTATTTAAAATACATCAAAATTAAATTGATAAAGGCCACATCTTATTCAAATGACTCAAATGCACCCAATCAACCAAACTCCCACACATTTCCTTCTTGGATTCAAAAGCTGCAACATGAATCATACATATTGTGGACCAAACAATTTCAGCTGTATTTTTTTAACCTTGTTAATAACCTGCTGAATAAAATGTGTCTTGATTTAGTCTTTATTTGGAACACCACTGAGACATCTGATTTCTTTATGCTCTCCCTATTAGTAATCCATGAATCATGTCATGCCTTAGTTTTTAGATTTAAAACATGTGCTGTAATCATGTGTATATATTTCCCTTTCCTCCCGTCCAGGAGAGTGTGGACCTGGGGGAGATCATGTACTCGTTGTGCTACCTCCCCACAGCAGGAAGGATGACCCTAACAGTCATCAAATGCAGAAACCTCAAAGCCATGGACATCACAGGCTCCTCTGGTAAGCCACAGTCAACGAAATACGGCATACGTAAAAAAGATATACTGTACTTGCTAGAAAATTAGGCAAACGTATTTTATAAAACACACCAGCAAAAAGTAGATTTTGTCCACATACAGTAGAGGCCTCACTCACAGAATAAGTCACAGCTTACAAAGCAGACAGACAACTTTTGAACTGGACACAACATGATTTAATGATATGGTGCAATGTTGCCTTGTGATGGACAAAGCTTGGTAAATGAAACGATAGAATTTGAGGATAAAAACATTCACTCACATTAGCCTGCCAGTTTCCATGACTCCTTTTATTTATTTATTTTACAAAAAACGAGCCTTCTATAGCTACTAAATAACAATAATAATAATAGTAATAAATTATTATTATTATTATTAATTCCATTAACTCTCCTCTGACAACAGTCCAACTCTACCACAGTAAACATACATACATTTGGCTTCATTGCTACGTATTCAAAGGATACATAGGATTCAAAAGAAAATTGAAAAAAGTACTGCTTATAGTCCCCAATTATGGTATTTGGATACATTTCTGTTCAACTAAACAACAGGTGGCCACTTAGAAAGTAATTGGAAAGAAACCTATTTTGTCATGTTTGCAACCACAAACATTACAATTTTCTATTGGATTACTTTTGAAAGTAATCCAAAGTAATTCACCCTGTGAATTTCTCCGTGTCGTCCCACCCCCTCATCCCCCTGTGCAATGGTAGCTTTGTTTTGACAAAGTTACAGACGACTGTGAAGTAAAAGCAAAACTGATACATGATTTTATTTTGTTTAAAAAAAAATTCTCATTACTTATACGGGAGGTTTATGTGAACAGGGCTCTAGATATACATTGAAATGTTGACATTTTTAAGCTGAAATGAAAAGCGTTCTTTATTTTCATAGATCCATATGTGAAAGTATACCTGATATGTGATGGACGGAGATTAAAGAAGCGGAAAACTACCACAAAGAAAAGCACTCTCAACCCAGTGTACAACGAGGCCATCATTTTCGACATCCCCCCTGAAAATGTGGAACAAGTCAGCCTGTCCGTTATAGTCATGGATTATGATAGGTGAGTGGATCGCACACTTGTTACATAAACAAACACTTCTGATGTCATTGGAGTTGAACAGGTAATATATCCCTCATGGCGTAACTAATTTGATGCATATTCTAATGTCTCTATCAGGGTTGGGCGCAATGAAGTGATAGGTGTTTGTCGCTCTGGTCCTGACGCTGAGGGGTTAGGAAGAGATCACTGGAACGAAATGTTGGCGTATCCACGGAAACCCATCACACACTGGCATGCGCTGGGAGAGGTACGCACATAAGAGAAGACACCTGAGCAAGGGCCTGGACAGGCTGATTTCTCATTCTGGAAATAAATTATGGTTGTAGTCGTTTTATAATTAGTTATTTAATTTAAGGGATGAAAAATTAAGGCCATTGAAACCAATTATTATGTAAAAAGATTCTTAAATTATAGTCTGTTTGCCTCATTTAACAGGGTGCCTGTTTTATAATAACAATAATAATTATATATAATATTTGATCAGTTGTATATAGAACTTGAACACTCAAGATGCTTCACAGCTGTCGTGGGTACACTGACAGAAGCGAGGCAACCACTATTTATTCTGTTGAATAAAAGCTTAAATAACTCATAATTTCCCCCTAATATTTCAACATTTCCCAAAATTGTAATTATGTATTGATACTAGCATGAAAGGCTTGTGAAATTGTGAAAAACTATAGAGTACTTTTGCGAAGGAATTTATAAACCTCTGGTTTCAACTATTCACTCCAAACGTATTCATTCACTTGTTGTTTGGAGTTCACCACCAAAACTATTCTGCCCCTTTTCCTTTTGTTTTCTTATGAAACCCTCCTGCAGGAACAAGGGATACATTCACCCATTCTGTGGTATTTTATATTTGTTTCAGTGGCCAGGAAGAGCAGCAAGCTTTGAAAGTCAAGGTTCGTGTTCTTCACCCAAACCGCCACATACTCCATGAGGATGTTTCAGTTCCTTTCTGTGGGATCCCAAGGGGCATGAAAAAAACAAAAGCAAATCTTTTGTATAAAATTTGGAAACCAGTCCCACTCTGCTTATTTAGTCATTTTCAAGATATAAAGGTTCATACTAACAGTCGGTGCCTACCAGAAAAAATAGTGTCAAATGTATTGGTTTGCATTTTGAACAAAATGGCACAAAGTTAATAGTTTACATATCATCATGATAGCCATTTTCATGGGTTCAAGTACAGGTATTTGTTATGTATTGTGCCTCTGCAAAGTCTTGTTAACATATACAACCTTGTATTAGGAGTTAGTGTAGCAAATAGATGTAGCAAAACGTACAGGATGACTTATTTGTGTGTATACAAGAAATTATCGTAAGCTCATTACACACTCATCCTCTTTTTTCTAAAATAACTGGCAAATTTCTGCCTCTTCAAATCTAAAATCTATAAATCTGAGGCCCTGTAGATCTATCCTCAGATGACGTCTAGATTTCTTTTGGTTTATATAAACCAACCAATAATACATTATTGGATTTTAAAATTGTTCACAGTTGAGACAAATTTAGGCTTAATCTAAACTCTCTTCTGTTCCCCTACGCCTCAGGATGGTCAAAGCATATATATATATATATAGTATATATATTATATTTATATATATATATACATATATATATATATTTCAAATTATACATCTATAATCAAATACAAGATATATGAAATGTATTATTTCAAATCACATTGTTAGTACTTTTTTATCCCCATACAATTTCTGGGCTCATTCCTTTTTACATATCTCCTCCATATTTGTCTGGGTGGTGATGTCAATGTAAAGTAAAATGGTAATAAACCACTTTTAATAAAAAATCAGGACAAAAAATACAGGTCCTTACTTGCCGAGGGATCTGACACAGTAATAAAAAGTGAACTCTGTAAATAGTACATGGCTGTATACTGTTATCTTACTACTTGCACTTCCTCAACCTGTAAAAAATAAGAAATATTTATACTTGAAGCATGACCCCCTCCTTGCATTGTGTGTTATTACTATGTATGTGGATGATGTAATGGCATTGATTAGAAAGACATATTCAGGTCTTACTAAGCCATAGTGCCAAAGAATGAATCTGAACCTTACAAATCCCATCTGAAATGGCCTCATGGCCTGGTACAATGCCTTTACCATATATTCCATGGTGATTTCAAAGGTCAACAAATATTTTGTTAGTAACGAGTGCTAAATGGATGTACACCAACAGTTGAAATGACCTTTGTGAATAAAACATACTGCTCATAACTTATGATCAGTTTCCCTTTCCCACACAATTTCAACATATCAGTCCAATTTCTTCTGCTCTGTTGGAGAAATGCTGCTGTTCATAAATGTTATGTAGCGTGTACTGCTATGAGTTCATATTGTGCATTCAGTTGCCGTGGGAACATGGTATTACAGATATTGGATAGTGCAAATAAATATACTGTATATGGATTTGCCACATGTAGCCTACTTGAAAAAAAATCTGCTGTATCACTTTTTAACATGAAGTCTTCAAGAACTTTGTGCACTATAATGTGTTGTTCAAAATGTTTGCATTATTTCATTATTGAATTATATTTTTGCTGTTACCATGTGATAGTAAATTAAAGAGGCAGTTAGTGATTTCTTTTCCAGATGCATTTTTTTTATTGTGGGATCATGTGTTAATCATGTGTTTTCAAATAGTAATAGAATTTACAAGATGCCTATAGTCTCCAAAAAAATAATAACAAATAAATTTCGAGAGAACCGATAAAAATAAACCAATGGGATTCGTTCATCCTTCACCCTCTTCCTGTTTCTTGCGAGTGTGCACACGAGTTATTGGATTATTTTCTAAAACCTAAAAGGGCTGAACAGAAAAGGCCAATTTCACGTTTGCCACCCACTCTCCCTGTTGTGACAAAGACAAGAACATGCTGGAGGTTGGGTTTGGTGGCGAGGCGAGGGGAGTGGTTTCGAGTTGGTGCTAAGGCTAAGCTAACAACATCGCTAACTGCATCTTTAATGTTATCACAAATTAGGACAATGTAAAAAGCAAGGTAAAGACCCCACCCCACTTCTCTGTGCCTCTGCAGCGGATGCATTGCCTCTTTATGCAATGCATTTGTATTGGCCAATGATAGAGATGGGACTTATCAATCACATTTTGAGAATTCAAGTATTGATATATCAACTCTGAGCCAATTCAAATGTGGGTGTTACTGTTATGCAAATACTGATACAAATTATAAAAGTATCAAAAGTGTATAGACACATTTTAAGCACATTAGTGTAGGCTTCTTCTTCTTCCGTTTGTCCTTTAGAGACTTTAAAACCTTTCTTCATACATGTATCTATTGGAAGCCATTGGAAGGCTGGTCTGCATCAGAGCGTCATGGATCAATTGTTCTCCATTGGAAATGTTTATGCTCTTGGTCTTTTCCCAAAACACACACATTTTGGAGTGACGTTGCTGCGAGGGTTGGCGGTGGCAGGAGGTTTATTTCACTTGTGTTCCTGGTCTGACGGAGCTCTCTGACTGCACGCCAAGCCGCAGCAGAGCCCTGTGCCCTGGCTTGCAACCTATTTTTTCCCGTTAGACTAAAGAATTAATGTAAATTCTAATCTAAAAATTGGTAAGATACAATGCACTCTGCTGTATATAGTTCACTCTGCACGCCGGTCTTATGCCAAGTGTCATAAATGTAGCTCCTACCCTCTCCATTTATAATATTTACGTCCTCCATTTGAAATAAATTCCTATCCACAAAAAACAGCATGTTTAATCTGAGTGCAGTTATAAGCTTGCAGGAGCTGTAGTGCAGTGTTTGTCAAAGAGTTAAGTTCAAAGCCTCGTTCAAAGCACCCCCAGCGCGGAACAGCATTGAACGCACATCAGTCAAACACAGCACCACACTGACCACATGAACGCTTTCAAAGAACTTGTGCAGGGTTTTGATAAGATGTTTTTTTTACCAACATTGCTGGGTTGCAATCACGTGGTTAGAAGGCCGAGGGCCATTGGACAGGAAGTAATTTTGTCATTAGTTTCAACAAGGCGAGAAAACGGGCATATAGGAACTTTTTTTGTCTTGATATGACTCTTATTTGGACTGAAAACTATTTCAATACAGCGTAAGCATTGTATAGTTTGAATGAGTTCAATATTTTCAACCATGAGGAGGATTTAGCAGATGTTACAGTGGAGCTCATCTCTCTGGGATCAACAGAAGCCACATCCAAGATGAACTGTCCCAGACCCTGGTTTGAACAGTTCTAGTCGTAGAAATAATGATGAACAATCACTCTTTTAACGTAATGGTCAGATGAAAACTAGATTTTATGTTAGAAGACTTCAGCCTACAATTCAGCTTAGTACTATTACGCTTATTCTTTGTTTTTATAACACCTTTGTTTGAGACAAACTTTAGCATTTAAACATGTATTTAACAGTTCTTTCTCCCTGTTGCCTCGGTTACTACAAGCGTATACCACTCAAAAAGACAGCGGACTATCAGCTGTGTTTATGGCTGCAGACGCTACACAGGCTACAGCATTATTTTAGTTCCTTTTTAGGTATTTTCCTAAAAATCGATACTCATTAGAGAAGTATATTTGAGCAAAATGGAGACTTCATTGGTTTTCCACTTGATACAAGCATTTGCCACAACTGTAAGATTTACATGGTTCTGAAGGGGGAGATACTTCCTGTCCCTTGTAGGAGATTAGCTGTAACCCAGCAATATAACATGAGTGTGAGGCTGTGTTAGAAAGAGGCTGATTGTTACACATTTAGCAATTGTAAAGAAATCATGAGGAAAAAGTGAGCATCTTGAGGTGGGGGCAACATAGACTGCTGTGCGTCTGCTGTCTTTGGCATAAACGGCACTCACAAAACCACTTGTTCACGTACAAATCCACACATGAACAGGTGTATGCAGTCAGAATAGACCTCAGACTGGATTTAGAGCACTCCATCGCTGACAGGAAAGACGTGGCAAAAGTATTAATAAAGCTTGAACTTTTCATTTAACAACTACAAACATATGTGTTCTATCAAAAAGTGGGGTTGCAGTAATCATACAGCCTAAGAACGATGTAGAATCTTCAGCAGCTGTTCTTCCAAGATTGTCCTGTATTTAGCTCCATCGACCCACCCATCATCTCAGTCTCTGCAAAGAGAATAGCAGGCCCATAACATGATGCTGCCACCCCAATTTTCATATTGAGGAATGTGAACTAAGGGTGAGAATGTGTTCCCTGCTTGACTTCTTGAGGTTTATTTTCAACATATCTTTCTATTTTCCACTCATCCATCAGGGCCAGATTTGTTTAGTGTAAGACAAATATTTACCCTACGTACAGATTCCCCCAGGTATGCTGTAGATGTCTGCCACTCCTCCAGAGTAACCAAGGGCATCCTGTCTGCATCTGTGATCAGCTATGAATTTGGGCGGACGTCTGATTGTTGGTAGATTTGCAGTTGTGCCAGTGACAGTAACCGTTTCAATGTTAAAGGTGCTATACCCGTTTCTGCAAGGTTTGAATGTTTAGCACCGCCCCCAACTCGCTCAATGGCTTCTCATTTCCCCTACGCTCTCATAACACAGAGCCATCTAGCTCAATTTGCGATCTGACGTGTATGCTAATATTAGCATTAGCACAACTTCTTGTAAGCTGTACAACAATCACTGATGAAATGGTACTAAAGCAACGCACTGCTAACACAATATATAGTAAAAGAATACCGCTAGTTTCGCATCCAAATGTATTCATTAAAACATTAGAATATATTAGAGTATTTAATTATAATTTATTATACAGCTCCTCACAGCAGCGGTAGAACACTCCATTGACTTGAATGTAATTCTATCGGTCATTTTTTCTTGATAACAGAACTCTCAAATCAATAAGGACCGCTGCCCTTTGACAATGCAATCTCTGTTTGTAATTCAGGTGTGTAAAATACTGCCAT